GTAAGACAGAGAGAGAGAGAGAGAGAGAGAGAGAGAGAGAGAGAGAGAAAGGAGAAGACATGCCCTTCCATTTTCTGACCCAGCTACCTGCTTCTTGCAAATAGACCTACTTCCTAACAGCACATTCAGCTGAGAACTGATCAGTGCTCAGTGATGGCTAGCACCCCATGGTCTAATCTCCCTTTAAAAGCCCTACCTCTGGACAGGACTTTTGGTGACTATTTTTTATCCAGACTATGAAAACCTGAAGACCACACAGATAATATTAAAAATATATAAAATGTAGGTTGTTTAGTTTTAATGAGCAAGAAATGTGTCATACTTCAGGTCTCCACTTTCCTTAAGTCATAGGAGGAGAGCTAGGGACATAGTATAGTGGTAGAACACACATAAGTTGCCTAGTTTGATCCCTAGTGTGTGTGTGCACACACACACACGCACACATGAAGCACATGTAATATTTTATCATTTTGTATAGCTAGTAAAATAGATTAAATTGGGCTGAAGGTGTAGCCCAGCATAGAGAGCTTGCCTAGAATGTGTGAGGCCCTGCGTTTGATCCTCTGAACTACTGCCAAGAAAGGAAAAAAGGTTCAGTTAATATTTGAGGGCTGGGGATGTGGCTCAGTGGCACAGTGCCTTTCTGGCAAACAAGAGGCCCTGAGTTAAATTCCTGGTACAAAAAAAATTTTTTTGAGCCTCTCTCAAGTAGGTTTTTGATAAGCAGATTAGACACAAGACCATTTGCGCAGTGAATATTTTAACACCACCACTGCTGTATTTAAAGCAGTGGGAAAGACAGAAGGAACACATTTAATAGAATAGATTAAGTGCTCTGAGCATATTTGGTCCAAAGAGCTGAAAGATCTCTCCTGTAATTTGCTACAGTGGCTCTAACAGAGCCTATATCAGGTGTCAATTTGACAGAGTGATACTACAGCAGAGACAACTACTGGATGCTCTAGGCAATCCACAAAAGTAGTCTTGGACCAGAAAGTATGGAAAATGTGACAGTATGAAGAACTAGCCAAAAGTCTACTAAAGAAGGGTGAGCTTCATCACTTTTTTGACTTCATCACCTATAAGAGCTGAGTTGTCCTCTGCTCCTGTAACTCCATTCCCTGAGATACTATAGAGAAATCTCTGGGACATGTCCTACCTATTTAAAGGGTAGGCAGGAAGTCAGGTGGGCATCCCTAGGCAGGGCTGTCAGAAATTCCTTAGATCCAATTGCTATTGCCACAAATCATCTTCCACTTTTCTACTCCATTCCAAAGAACTCATGGTTACTCCCGCGACTCCATGCCACAGATTATGATAGCACTGGTCCTACTAGCACAGACTCCAGAGGGAGCTAACAGTTCGCTCTTCTCTATGTGAGTTGCTCTTGCTCATGCTAAATCCTTTAAAATCCAGGAGGCTAGAAATTTAAACAAGAGTAACACAAAAACCAAGCAGGGATTATTTTTCTTATATAACTTGAAGCCAGTGGGAAAAGGTTACAGCCATGCCTTTGGATGTCTCCAGGGATGGTTCTGCCCCCATTTCAAATGTGGCTTTGTCTTTATGCCCAAAAGATAGATATCTCCTTCACCTTCTGTGCTGTGACCATATTCTAGGCAGGAAGTGGCAGGGAACGATGATGCGCCACATCTGTATTCCTGTCTGTGTGTGTGTGTGTGTGTGTGTGTGTGTGTGTGTGTGTGTGTGAGTGTGTGTGGTACTGGGGACTGGAGACTGAGTCCAGGGCCTCACCCATGCTAGGTGAGTGCTCTGCCACTGAGTTACACTCACAACACCTCTCTGTCCTCTTTTCATAGTAAACCTGTTTCCCCAAAACTTTCCTCCCCACAGGTTCTCACCCCACATCTTTTCAGCCAGAATTGTGTCCAGTAGTCACCCCTTCCTGCAAAGAAGGCTTGCAAAGGAGGCTGAGCTCCCACCCCAACAGCAGGGAGGCAGCAGAGAGTGTAGTGGCTGTGTATGCAGCACTTTAGTAACCAATCATCAACTCTAGGGCATTTTCTTGCAAGATAACCTTTCCCTGGCTTCTCCCACTATCTCTTGCTATGCCAGGTCCATGAAGATCTTGTCAGCTGTCTGAAAGTTGGTGACCTGGCCTAGGAACAGATAGTTGGACATCATGGAAGCTCCAGTGAGCCCAAGGAGCAGCCCCTGGAACCTGTCTTCTTCATGTACAGAACATTCATAGAGGCGTCCTGCCAGGCAGACTCAGATAAGGCAGGTGGTTGCTGGTGCAGGAGCACAGGACTGATGTAGGTGAGAGCATCTTAATCCTTGGGCCAAGGGAACCTGCTCGAAAGTCATTTTGAGAAACAGGCTTGGCTGCTGTACCCATTATGTCCTCGGGCTCCTCAATAGCTTGGCTCTTTGGACCCCAATTTTACATGACAGCATTTGCCCTCACCCTTGCTGGTTTTGTTATTGTTTCACTTCATCATGAAGGGAAGAGGAAGTGACTGTGAGGAAGGGGATGCTTTATTTCTTGGCTGGGTTTTCCTTGTTTTTTTTGGCTCCTTGGAAAGACTGTTCTGACTGTGAAATCCCACGCTGGTAGATCCTAGAAGAGTAGAGAGATAATAGCCAGATTCTAGCCAGCTATTGCCCTTTTTATATTCAAGCCTACATCAGCATCATGAAAGAAGTGACACTAACTGATTGTGCTGCTAATGAGGATACTGACTATTGCACTAATTGATACTAACTGATCTCCATATTTCTGATCAGACTTCTTGTTTCCTGAGGTTCCTTTTCTCCCCCATCATCTCCAGGCCCTGCATGTCTCTTCATTTATATCTCCTGCTAGTGTCCAAGTACCAAAGAGTACCCATCTGCTACCTGCTGAGCTCCTGCAGGTTCCACTCAGTTCCAATCAGCCCGACCCCCCAGCTTCCCTGTAGGGGCAGAAGAATGCTACAGGTCCCTGATTTGTTCATGAGACATCAGAAACACCTCTGTGCCAGAGGGATAGGGAGAGACTTTAGCACACTGAACAGTTATTTTCTGGGTAACTGAAGTTTGAGTAAAATAGCCATTGAGTCTCTGAAAATATGATTCTTTTCAGAAAAACAATTCATGGATCTAAGGGACCTAGAATGGAGATATTTTAAGGGGCTGGCAAAGTGGAAGCACACAACTGTGGTTTCATTCGTGGACATAAAATACAACAGTGAGAAGAGATTTGTAAAGCGCCGGGACATGTCTGATGTTATTTCTGTCCCTCTAATACGTAAGTCTTTGGTCATTTATCCTTGTATTGACTATCAAGAAGAAGGAAAGTATGATCTTGAATGGAATATATAGTTTATTGAAAATATTTTGGATGTGGATATTTGCTTTTGAGAGCATTGGAAAAGTGAAGATGAGTCACCCAGTATAACATCTGAATAATATTCATGTAAAGCCTCCAAATAAAATACCAATATGGAGTAAAAGATGCACATTGATCTGCTACTGTAAGATTTGGTTTAGACCCATATAATTGATTTGGGCCAGGGCTAAAGCAGATATTAGTCCTATAAAAATAAAGGATGCACACCAATCAAGAAGAACAGCTCTTTAATCACATGACATGGCCTGCACGAGGCCTTAGATCAACCCATGACATCCCTCCCCCCATAAAAATTTAAATACATTAGGAAGCTCACCATCATAAAAACAGTTGATAAATTCAACAGGTGGAGGAATTAACACCTGTGGATAGAGGTCAGTCTGAGAATTTTAACAAATTAACTTGTTCAAGGTATTAAGGAAGAAAGTAGCATTCATGAAATGAGACCTGGAAGATGTGCAAAAGGAACAAATTGAAAACTTCAGAAATGGAGAAGAAAGCCATAATAACAATAATGATAATAATAATAATGCTCAGTAAAGTATCCCACTGTTATACTGGACTCATGTGAAAGGCAGAGAGTGATGATTTAGAAGACATCAATGAAAAGCTTCCAGATCATGACACAGGAAGTGAGAAGAAAAATTTGGGAATAATGGAAGGTGTGATGAGAAGTTCAGAAACACTTTAAGAGAGAGTTGTACAAGAAAAAGGGGAGGCTAGTATTAAACCTGAGCATTCCTTTTGCATATGGATTAAATAAGTAAGTGACTAATTTTTCAGAAATGAAGAAACAAGGCTTGAGTTGAAAAATCTCACTGATTAGCAAGAAATTAAAAATAATCTATACTTGGAAACACTGCAGCAAAACTACAGAGCAGTAAACACTAAAGGACAGTGTCATCTGACAGAGATGGGCTACATTCAAAGAAATGACAAGCTAACAAGGACAGTTTCTTTAGCAACAGGTGTCAGAAGGTGATGGTGTCAACACAAAATGCCCAGGGACAGCTACACTCATACAGAATTTTACATCCAGCCACACTCTCTGAAGAGTGGTGGTAAAATAAATACATTTAAAAATACATTATATAAGACCCCTAAATTGCTTATTATCCATAATCCCTTAATAAAACACAGCAAAATAAAGCAAAACTAGTAAAATGCTTTAACAAGAATCCAGAGTAAATGAAAGAAATCAGGGTGAACAGGTGAATTATTATTATATGTGTATATGATTGTGTAAACATTAAAACATATTTTTGGATTCTATATCCTAATATTTTATTTTAAAAATTGCCTCCATCTAAATGAAGTTATCATTTAGCACATTTTTGCACTGTTTTTTGTTTTGAAATTTTATTTTGGGGGGTGTCTTAGTTACTTTTCTTGGTGCCAAGATAAAATACTGAACACCCAAAGTTAAAGGAGGAGAGTTTTATTTTGGCCCACAGTTTGTAAAGGTTTTAGTCCATAGCTTGCTGCCTACAAGGCACAAGGCGGCGTGGCAAGGCAAGGGGGCACTGCAGAGGAGAAACAGTCCATGGTGTGACAGACAGAAAGCAGCAGCTGTCCTCCTTCTTTCCCTTTATAGTCTGTATGGGCTGCAAGCCTACTGATTGGTGCTACCCACGTCCATGGTGGGGCTTCCATTATGAAAAAGATATTTGTGTACAGCTAGCTGTTAGGAGGTAGAGTGGCCTATTTTCCGCAAGTCACCATCTCTCTATTTCAGAGTAAGCAATCATGTGGAGAAAGTATAGAGAAATAATGCAAATCTCATTTGCTTTATCACTTCTGGCCACTTTTAGCTCATTGTCCACTTTCTTCTGGAAAGGAAACTGGGCTCCAGGCTTCCTCATGTCATCATTTGCATATTTTGTTTATTCATCTGGTCTTAAGAGAGGAGTGGAAAGCTGTGTGAGCCCTAGGTTTCAGGGAACCTCTTGTACTAAAGGAGAAAAAATCTAACTTTCAAAGTTCTATTTTTCAGTGCTTGTGACAACATCATTTCCTCTGTGTGTGGTATAGCTTTAAGTTTTTAACCATTGTATTTTAATTTTGTTTTGGAGTTTAGCAGATATAATAGCCATGCTTTTAAACAAATATTCAACATTTTTTTTTGTTTAAACTTGTGTCTTGCTTTGCTGGTTACAATTTCCCCTTTATTTTTTCAGCACTCAGGCTTGTGGCTTGATGTATCTTGTTGGACTGGAATCTTGGTTTCCTCAAAAATGCCTGGGTTGTAAGCAAAGGCAAGCCTGATACTCAAGCCTAAAAAAAAAGCATCACACTAAAAAACTGTGAAATCAAATATTAAAAAAAGTGAAAGCTGGGCATGGTGGTGCATACCTATAATCCCAGCACTCAGGAGGCTGAGGCAGGAAGATAGCTGTGAGTTCGAGACCAGCCTGAGCTGCATAGTAAGTTTCAGGTCAGTCTCAACTACATAGTGAGACTCTGTCTCAAAAAAAAAAAAAAGGTCAAAATCAGGAGTTATCTAACCACTGCTCCTTTTAGAAGGGCTTTTTGTCTTTAGACAATCATGTATAGGAATCCTATTTTTTAATTTCTGCAACTCTACTTAGTTTGGAAGTTGCACACAAGTTAATTTTTTGATACTCCAGACCTCCTCACCAATCTCTGAATCTATTTCTTTTTTCTGAAGATCTTAATTAACTCTCTGCAGCTTTATCCAAGGTTTCCCTGGTGATGGTGAGTCAGGAGATGTCCCACACTGGGGGCAGGATGTGTCGGACAAGTGGAGTCACTGTCATAGGGCCTTTCTGCCAGACTTGAGCAATGTCAGTTTAGAACTGAGTTTATCTAGAGTCTGTAGTCAAGTTTAACTGTGTCTAATTTTGCAGTTGGTATCCTAAAACTATCGAACTTTGACTGACAGTTACAAAGATTATAAGCAGACATAAAACCAGCCAATGAGAGCAAAACACATTCAGTCTCTACAGCAGACTTGAATTAAGAGGCATAGTAACCATGCTAATTGAAGAAAGGCAATATCTGTTAAGCAAGCTTAGATTTGTCAGAAAGGTATCAAGCAATACTTGAGAGTCATCTTTTATACTGATATGAATCACCATTTGGGAAAAAGCACACAATTTATTAATACCAAACCATGAATTACACTTTGACATCTTTAAGGACATCTTTAAGATTTTACAGGTACAAATTCTGTAATTCTGAATATAGTGTACAAAATTAATGTCTATATTGTTAAATAAGAATGTACTTTTTTTAGCAAGATTGTCTCTTTCTCAGCATGAGAAACATGGCTATGACTATAAGCAACACACAGATAATTTAGCAAAACAACTTAGTTTTGCAGCATATTAAGACAATAACCATAACCATGTTATATTAAGACAAAGACATGTTTAAAAAAGGAAAATCACATAGTAGCAGTTTGTGTGATCAACAATGTGAAATAACATTTTAAGTAGTCCCAGCACTCAAGAGGCAGAGACAAGAGGATCACAGTAAGTTTGAGGCCAGCCTGGGCTGCATAGTGAGACTCTGTCTCAAAACAAAACAAAACAAAAACCAAAACAAACAAAAAACACCCCCCCAAAAAACCCAAAAACAACAACAAAAAACTAGGTATGTAAGTATATATGAAAATCCTAAGACAATTTAAAAAAATATTTAATCCTAATAAGATAGATCAGTAAAAATTGTTTGCACAAATTTGAAATCTTTTAAAAATATTCTCCTGTAAATTTTATTAGAAGCACATTGATATCCTAAGACTTGTTGCTTTAAATAAACTCACATTATGCCTTTTTATTATATTTTAATTTTCTGAAACATTGTTAGAAAAATTGAGAAATTTTTTGATCAAAAGTTACTGTTAATATATATAATTATAACAAAAACATAATTTTTATATTATTACAAATATGGAGTGGAATGGTGAAGACCAGTTAGCCATGCACTGAGCCTGCCCTTGCCCTGGCCTGCATCCAGTGGACTGTTGAAGACTGTGCAGTTGTGTGAGTGTCTCTGCAACATACCTCCCCTCCATCCTCCTGGGCCTCCCGATTGTGTCAGTTCCTGGATCCACTCTGCAGAGGCACAGGTGGTCATAAAGGTCATTTTACTGAGCTCCAGAAGATAGAAAGGGAGTGGACAACTGCAGTAAAGGCTCATCAGACCTCTATAGTTGGTAAGTTGAAGGGATCACCACCTTCTATCAGAACTTGGACTATCTTCAGGGGAAGCGCAGCTGGAACATGCCTTAGAACCTTGCAGAGTTAAACCCTGCAGGAGGTCAGGAAGCTCAACTTGGGCCTTGCAGCCTGAATTCAACTAGAATCTCAGGGGTCTGCCATCAGCTAGCTGAGACTAAATGACTTAGTTCTGCACATTGCTGTGCACAGTGTCTATTATGACAGCAGAGATATAGTCTTAAGGAGGCCTTTCAAATAGTTTTTCTTCTTTCTTTTCCTCATTCCATTCTGAAACATCTTTCTTTTTTCCCCCATCTTCTTTTTCCCAGTCTCTTGCTCTCCCATATTATTCTTCATCTCCTTTTCTGTTCCCGTTCCTGCCCTAATTCAGATTTCTTCTTTTTTATTTTTCTTTCTTTCTTTCTTTTCTTTTTATCTTTCATTTTTCTTCACTTGAGGGTCACTAGTTTCAAAGGAAAGTGAGTACCTATTACCATTAAGTTTGTTTATACTTGTACTTATTCTTGCACTCTGTTTTTCCCTCTTATCTTTAACAGTTTACTAAAGTTTGTGTGGTCATCCTGTTCCTCTGGCTTCACTTGAAACCTTCTGTAATTCTTCTACCTATCTACTTCTCTCTTCCTAACTGTCTAAGTCCCCATCCTAAAGGGTAAAGTTGTTATATTGAAGAGTTTATTCACATAAACATGTTTTGGGCTGCTTCTTGATTTTGATTTAATTCACATGGATTAAAGGTGATATCTTAATAACTTTCACAAATGGTCAGTTTTTAAGCAATGCTTGATGCTATTGTGTTGCTGATTGTATCAATTGGGCTAAAGGACTGTGATTGATTTAATGAGTTCTCCTTTCTGATATTATGAAAATGAGAGTGTCTATGAGTCATTAGAGACTCAAAAGCTAAAGAGCAGCTATATCAGGAAGAGCAAAGTAATAATCCAGGAATTGAACCAAGGACATCCCAACAAAAATAAAAATGAGAAAACACTTAAGCAAGACATAAGACAGAATTTCAGTTCTCCAACAGCAAACTCTAGGGGAAATGAGGTGGAAAAGTCTGACAATCAACCACCAGGACACCCTGAACTCATAGCACAGGAAGTAACAAAACAGATCAATCAGGCTCTAGAAAAATTCAAAGCAGAAATAATTTCCTAGATAACTATTGAGATGGTGAGCACAATGAAAGGCATGATTAGAGACTCTAGAACAGAAACTGACAAAAAAAAAAATAGATGATCTGAGGGCCACAATAGAGGTTATGAAAGCCCAGCATAAGAAAGAAATGGAAACCATGAATGCCCAACATAAAAAAGAAATGGAATCCATGAAACAGATTCAAACAGATATACAGGAGATTAAAATCTCTATTGAAAGTTTCAAAGCAGTTTAAATGAATGTGAAGATAGAATTTCAGATATAGAACATAGGATTGCAGTCAGTGACCCTGAAAAGAGAGGTCTCTTAAAAACAGTAGGGGATCATGAGAAATCAATCCAACAACCCCTAGATGATGCAAAGAAGAATAACATAAGACTGATAGGAATCCATGAAGTAGCAGGAGAAAATACAAATGACTTAAAAAAACTGTTCATAGAGTTAATGACAGAAAACTCCCCAAACAAACCAAAGGAATTTGACATACAGATAAGTGAGGCATATGGGACTCCAACTAGCCATGATCAAAAAAAAAAAAAATTATACCTAGACATATAGTAGTCAAGATCCCAGAAACCCAATGAAAGAACAAAATACTACAAGCAGTCAGAGAAAAGAAACAAATCACATGCAAAGGAAAGCCCATCAGAATCACAGAAGACTTTTCAACACAAAACCTCAGGTCAAGTAGAGCCTGGAGTGAGCTATTTCAAATCCTAAAAGAAAACGACCTCCAACTAAGGCTGATGTATCCTGCAAAACTCTCTTTCTA